GTTGCTGAGGTGAAGGAAAAAATGACGGAGGCGCTGTCAAGCATCTCAAAAGATGAATTTAGACAATGTTTTGAAAAATGGAATAAAAGACTAGACAAGTGTATTAGTGTAAGTGGAGAGTACTTTGAAGGGGATTGAAGGTTTGTGCTTAAAATTTGAATAAATAAGTTTAAAAAAATAAGTTCAGTTTCTTTTGGGTACCCCCTCGTACATATACACCGTGAATAAAATTTATCAGTTCTCCCCAAATAAAAACTTACATCATTTTACTATTTGTGTGTGGGATTGTCGATGTTCTAAAAGACAACCACATAAAACTGTAACAATTGTATATATTAAATTGTATAAATTGAATGTACAGAATAGCTGCAAAGCTATGTGGAATGTCGATGTTCAAAAGTTGGCTGGCCCTGAACAGGGCAGTTTGTTCCACAGTGAGTGTGCTGGCAGAATTTGCTCCTTTGTAGTAGACCAGGTCTTTACGGCTGTTCAGCTGGTTTGTCCATCCCGTGATTTGGTGCTGCGTGCACCGGTAGGAGCAGCTGGTTATGGTGCGGATGATGACTGAGCTGTTGTCTCGGCTCAGTTGCTGGAGAGCTGCGGCAGCTACGTTAGCTGTCTGGTAGCAGAGTGTGGTTGCTGAGAGTTGCGGCAGCTGTCTTTGGCGCAGTCAACAGCTCATGACTCTGATCACTGAATGTGATCACTGATGATTGTGAGCTTTGGGCTCCACTTTTATACCATGCTTGCTGGGCGGAGCTTATACTTGAAGTTGCAATTGTGAGCACTGATTGGCTGGTGCACGTGATGATCTACAGGTGGGCTGGACATTGAGTGCTGTATAAATATGAGTGGTGGCAGCAACATGCAGCAATGTGATACTGACTAGGAGTGAGTGCTGTCTGTTAGACCAGCGAAACCGCGTGTTAGTATGTGGGATGTTCCCACATGTGTATTATACATCTATTGTTTTGTTTACTAGGTGATTTGAGACTACTGTTTCCACTACATTTCATTTTTCTTTCATACCACTCCATCAAGTATTGTTTCTTTTCCTTAATATTTTGTAGCCTGTATTTTTCCATTTTCTTTTACTCAAGCCCAGGACATCAGCCCTCCCTATTTCCACACTTTCAATTATTCCCGGTAATTCTCCTTGTTATTTTAATGTAACTATATTTATTGTTCCAATTCTGAATCATAAATGTCGCTAGCTCTTCTGTGTTACATCAGTACTCTTCTAAAGTTAGGATGTTTTAGTACATTCAAAATTCAGTATTTGTTTGCTGAGTTTGTCATGCCTTGCATCGTAATCCTGTAAGCCATCCACTTTTAAGGTTCTTGTAAGATCTCAGTTAACTTGAAGGTGCCAGAGACTAGGTCCCCTTTGTACTTTGCCTTGACAAGCTTTCACCTAGTTCAACACTGCCCTCTGCATATGGCGTGGACATGGGGTCAGGTTTAGAAAGCTTATGTTTATATGACATGTTAACTCTATGAAGTTCATGCTGGTACAGTATCAGCTGTTATGTACAGTTTATATATTTTCTGAAAAGGTGTGTGTCTCAGTTATGGGAAATGTACTGTACAATGTTGTAACTGAATTTGATGTCCATAGAAGCAGAGCTTGTTAAATTAAAATGTGCTTCAGTGAAGCCTATGGAAATATCCGAGTAGGTAAGCATTTGTCTCATATGTTCTGAATTAAGAATTAGCAAACAAGGGAATGCTTTACTGCCATCACTGTTGAACTTCACTTTAGAATACTACAATATTTTAGCATCCTGCTGCACTTAGTATAACTTGAATATAGTTCTGATTCTTACCTGTCCTCATGCAACTAAATCAAAATCCAGTTTTGATGTTTCTTCTTTATGCTTTATTTCACAACATGTTTCAGTATAACTGGCCATTATCAGGTATACAAGGTGTGTTTAAGGCGTCTGCTCTGCTTCCTTTTTTTATGTATTACATTTTGACTAAGTTGCATAAGGACAGATAAGAATCTGAACAGTATCCAAGTTCACTTTAGAATATGGTGTTAGGATAATAGAAAAACCAAGAGCGATTATCACTGAATGAAACACCTTAGCTACTTTTGTTTGCTGGTTCTGTTAATTTGTATTGCACTGAAGCCAAAGAATATAGGCTGGGAAGAGTTTCTTTAAACCCACAAATGATTGGTAAATAAAATATCACATAATTATATAGTAAAACAGCAATTTAAACAATATAAAATTTTTGCACTTCATTAATTACAAAAATGTCCCCAATATTAATAACACATGATATTAAATACTGCTGTGATGCTGGCCAGGTGATGTGCTGATTGGATCTGGTGTGGTGGCATACCTGGGGGCCTTCACACTGCAATTCCGTGAGCAACAGATAGCCTCCTGGGTAGACCATCTAAGTGCTCTTCAGGTCATATGCTCAAAAAACTTCACACTGACCACAGTGCTGGGAGAAGCTGTTGAGATTAGACAGTGGAACATCTACGGGCTCCCAACTGATTCATTTTCAGTGGATAATGGAATCATAATCAGGTAGGAATTAATTTTTTATAAATAATTTTCATTGTGATGTCTGTGGTTATTGTCTTTTAATCCTTCTGCTCTGTGTCCACCTGGTTAGGAAAATTCTTGGAACACTGTTTATTTTGAAGATCGAGTGCTGACGAATATGATGGGGGCAGAGAGGAATAGTAGCTTATCATGGACTCTCAATAATGTCAGTGGCATGGTATTTCTCACATTCACACAGTTTGTACTTGTTCATACATGAAAGATGGGAAATGCACATGGAGGCATGTACATACACCACAATACAAAAGGTCTGCAAGTAGGAAATAAGTTATTTTGAAATCAGGGCCACTGAAGAAAGAAAAAATAGGGAGATATAGGGAAAAGACAGAATCATCAAGATCTCAATTATAGGAAGCGTGGGCAAGACCAGAATATGTGGGCACACAAGAGTGCACGAATTGAATGTGGAGATAGGAGGTGTAAGCTAGTCAGTATTCACTGCCACAGAGCTACATGGACAGGCTCCGAATATTTTAATGCATAATATATATGGTTCTACTTCTCACAATCTATTTAAGTTTGAAAAACAAGTAAAGTTATTCATTCATTGCACTCAAGTTAGTACCAGATTATTTTAAAATCATTTTGCAAAATTCAAATTGTTATTTTATTCATGAGTGGAAGAATTAACTATGTACTGTAGACAGTATCTGAATATTAATGATTACACGCTCCATAATATTTTTGTACGTCATGAACAACTCTGTGAAGTAGGCTTACATGCATTTAGAAGTTCTGCAGTACAGGGATGAATACATGAACTCCATAAGTTTTAAAAATATAATAATGGAGTTAAAAACAACTTGAAATGATCAAAGGGAGATACAAACCACATAAGAATTATATCAAAAGTTAAAACATTCTACTGAAAATCGAAAGTTTATGGAACAGGTAGATGCATTAGAATGCAAATGTGTAGAGAACGCATGCACAAACACTGTGTACCATGGGATGGATTGCATCATTCCATTCTTGTATAAGGAAAAGGATCTGTGATATAATGTCCAAGTTAGCATGTGTTTTTTCCATTAGACAATCACTTGAGCCATTTAACAGGCTTTAATGGAACTTGGTATGAACATCATACCAAGGATATCAGGATGTTTCAATTTCACTTGCCCCTTAACCTTTTGAGAGCCAAAATAGCTCATTCAATATGAAATGGGCCAGGGAATAGACAAGGGACTTACTACTTTTAATCACAATGTCAAGGCCAGCCCGGGGGTTTACCCAACCTCCTACTTTGGACTTCTGCCCCAGGGATAGAACATCTGTTTCATGAAGCTGATCACTGAACTCCATTTATTTCAAGATTTACAATCCATGGAGCTATGCATCCATAATCCCATAATGTCATGCTTAATTTCCTTCACGCAGTTCTCAAGCACTTCATTCTGTGTTTCTCAGGTAATACACCAAACTTCATACCCATACAAAAGAACAGACAATTACAGTTTTGTGTACTTTGATCTTAGAGTTGTAGAGAGATGAGAGGAAGACAGAATATTCTGTACTGAATTATAGTAAGGATTCTCTAAATTTAATTTGCTCTAAATTTCTTCATGTAGTTTTGGTTTCTTGCTGTAATTCCCAGATATTTGAATTTTGTCACATATTCAAATGATGCTACATAAACTATGATTTTGTCCCACATTCTGATGATGAAATATGAATATATTCATGATTCTGTGAAACATGTTATTGCTGAGTGCTGTACTGCTGGCAGCTGTGTAGCATCCTAGTACTTCTTAATTAAATTGATTGCAGAAGGTAGCTTCAAATGCTGCCTCCAAATTACTTTGTCATTTGCACAGAGATGCAGATCTCTTTGATATTATGTGAGTGCTTTGCCAGACAGTACTGCTTGTGGGTTCAATTACTGCTGAAGATGTGTTTTAAGTGTCTGATCTGATTGTATCAAAACGTATGATTGTAATACATACACAAACTCTTTCAGAAATGCTCGTCGATACCCACTGATGATTGACCCACAAGGTCAGGCAAACAAGTGGGTTAAGAACATGGAGAAGTCCAACAACCTGAATGTGATCCGTTTTACCAGCCCCGACTATTCCCGTGTGCTGGAGAATGGAATCCAATTTGGAGTACCTGTAAGCATGAAATGTCACTTTTTATGCTTATTTTTTAGATTTAACTGTAGCATTCATGGTATTGCTATGTAGCCAATCTTAAATGTTTACGGTTTTCTGATGGCTAACTCAACGAAACCGTCCCTTATTCACTGGTAATAGAATCTGAAGGTTTATGAAATCTCACTGTTTAGTGCACTTAAATTATTTTGTGTGCAGCATAACATAGCTTTTGCTTCATTTAGCCTCATTTACCATTAACAGTAATAGTATAAGAACATAATATTGTGATGTGTTGCCCTATGGAGGACGCCCCTCCCCCCCTCACCCCCGCCAGCGGTGACGTGCCAAGTGGAGCCGAAGTGAGCCGAGTCCAAGGACGCTGGTTGCTATGCAAAGCGAGTAAACAGCGGTTGTTAGGCAAAGCGAGTAAACAGCAGTACCCATTATGTAACATGGGACACTGCAGTTGCTACGTAGCTGTAAACAACTCCCAACAGCATTGCTGGGCTATTGGCAAACACGGCGACTAGGCAACAAGGAAGCGAGGCGTTTCCCGTTGTCCGGCTGAGGGTTTATAAGAGACCTACTGTAACCGTCCTTCGGTTCTGCTAGCTCCGGTAGAGCAATTCGACTCCTCTCAGGGCGTGTTGACTGGCCACGACTTGGGTGATTAGTGGGGCTTTAGGCGTAGGGAAGTCACCTCAACACCAACTAACTGTTTGAAGTCTTTATTCAACCTGCACTATTTGTACGGAAACAGCACTGTAGTGACACTTCACAGAGCTGTGGATGTAGGCTTCCTTACTGTTCTGAGACGCACACTTAATAGTCACCACAGGGCATGTTTACGGGGATCAGAACACGTGTACCCCCGGTGAAGGTAAATTTCAGAGTCCTCCTTGCCAAGCACCCTCTGAATGGTAATATTTGCCCTGGTTACCCAAAATTCGGGCAAAGGACCTCCCACTTCAGACGATGATTGGCTGGACCAGGCAGACTGGGAGGTTGCTTATCATTCTCCTCCAATTAGAAAAGCGAATATCCACTAGTGTACCGTTTAGGGGTGAACTTTGCCACCTGCTGTGTGGCTCTCAAACTGAGATTTTGGGGTAGCAGGAAACGACGCTGCTAAATTTATGACTTCCGCTGTCAAGTTTAGAATTTCTAAAGAACTCGGCCTTGTTTTACGCATTAAATTGACTGATTTACTGATGGGCAGCTGGCTTCAAGCTTGACCCAAGCCACTTGCTGCGTGTCTCAGGGGGAAAATTTCAAATTGTGAGGTGAAAGTGAGGAATTTCATAAAACCCTAACCATACACAAGCATCAATTGACCATCCCATAAACTGGACAGTTACACTACACAGCCGCCGAAGACAGTTGGAATATAGCAGCAGTCTCGGAAAGAAGAACCGGACGCGTGTGTGATAATCAGTGATAGTTCGTGATAACTGAGAAATAATTGGGAATGTGTGATACAGTTGCATTTGTATAACTCTCACGTTATAAAACCATGTAGACTACTGAGGATAGAAGGAAGAGATTTGTGTGTAGGGTTGTAAATTGTGTAAACCCATAACAGTGTGATAATTAATTGTAGCCAAGACTTGTAGGTTGTTAAATAAACCAATTAACAATCTGAACGGCGTCTTCAGTGTCTAAACACATTACACTGGTGTCAGAAGTCCCCTCTTTAGACCAGCTCGTCTTGAACGGTTTCCTTTCAATTTGCCAGAAGATCCAGTTGTATCCCATTCATTACATCGCTTTCTCCCATGGCACATTCACTCTCTCTGGGGAGGCCGGTTCTTCTATTTTACCGGCTCCTCTTCTGTGCTCTGCTTCTTTTTCTTTTTGGAGACGGTCGACCCCTCCACAATGTTCAGTCCTTGATCAAGTCTTTCTTCGGAAGTTTCTTATGTCGACGTAACAGCCATTGATGCGTTGTTTGCACTTGCTGACATCGTCGTTCCTCCTGGTCTTTCCGCCACTTGCTGGCACGAGACCGTGGCACCAAGTCCCCTCTCCGGCATCCGAAGGTTCCCTGGGGAGTTTCCTTCTTGAAGGCATTTCTCCAACGTCGTGCCACTGTTGCGTGATGGGATATCTTCCTGCAGGAAGATCCTGCAGGATATCTTCCTACTTCATCCAGGATTCATAATCTCCTCGGGTCCAACATTTCCTGAAGATGTTCCTCCGACGCCATGCCACTGTTGCATGGCGGGACACCTTCCTGCTGTTTTTCTTCTGCCGTGCCACTTCCACACGGTGGCTCATCCCTCTGCAGGCTACGGCCAACTTCTTCTGGGGTCCACAACTTTCCCGTTTCGCTGATTTCAGTCCCTACACCTTTTCTTCAGTTCTCCGACCGGCTTTACTTTGGCGTCTTCTACGGGTACCTCTCGTTGTTCTGCCGCCTCGGGTTTCCTGTCCACTGAGGACGGCTCTTCTTCCGGATATGACTCCATCTCTTGGCAGGTCATCGTCACTCTGACCGGTATTACTATGGGGACCTCTTCTTGTTGTGCCGCCACAGATTTCATGTCCATTGAGGCCGGCTTTTCTTCTTCTAGATGTGCCTCCATCTCTTGACAGGCCATCGTCTCTTTCTCTTCTAGATGCGCCTCCGTCTTTTCTCGGCAGGCCATCGACATTACGTCCATTTCTGGTTTGGTTTCGGCAACCATCTCCTTGTGGCTGGCGTCCGTCTCTTCTAGCCTGGTGGCCATCTCTTGTCACCAGGCTTTCGTTTTTGCTGCCATCATTTTAATCATGTCTTTTAGGTTCTTTCGATTGGCCTCTACCTTCGCCTGATCGGCGTCCGTTATTGCCACTAGGCATTCAAAGAAATTTTCCATCTCCATCGTGCAGTAGTATAATTCATTGAGTGTGTTCAAGTTCGTAAACCAATTCTGACACCAAATTGTCATGTGTTGGATGTATAACGCGACAAATAACTTTACGCCATATTGGATATAGCGAATTTTATTTCACAGTTGCTCTTACAGTCACACAGTTTACAATCTCACAATTACTGCCATCGGCAGTATCACAAATACTAGACTACAACTGACTGGTTGACTAACTCCCTGGCTAACTCATAACTTTCCGCTGGCTAGATTCCAGCTGCTTCGTAGGCTGCTACACTTCATAGGCTGTGTAGTTCCCTTATAAACCCTCAGCTGGACAACGGGAAACGCCTCGCTTCCTTGTTACCTAGTAGCCATGTTTGCCGATAGCCTAGCAACGCTGTTGGGAGTTGTTTACGGCTACTTGCTTTGTCTAGCAACCACTGTTTACTCGCTTTGCATAGCGACCAACGTTCTTGGACTCAGCTCACTTCGGCTCCACTCGGCACATCACCGCTGGTGGGGGGGGGGACATCCTCCATAGCGTAAGACGTCACAATATCTTACATTATATAGTAGATAATTACTCACATTTGCCATTAACAGCAATATTAAAGGGTAAAAGTATCCTTGTAACAGGCCATGGAGGCCCATAGGGTTGTGAGATGTTGAGGCTCCCAAATATTCTAGACAGTCGGGTCACAGATGCCGGTGAGGTTGTCTGCCTTACGCACTGGCTGCCCTTTACCCCCAGGAATATTCCTGGCACTCATTTATGTTAGAGGCTGAGTTGACCCCAGGGCCATAGGGTGGCTGGAAGGATTAGGTAAATTGAAAAATCCACCTCATCAGGATTTGATCCTTCAACCTTCTGGCTTGTAGCATAGTGCCTCAACCAACTGTGTTACTGCATGCCCCTAACAACAATAGCATAATATGTATATAGTAGATCATTATGGGATATTACTCGTATAATATACAGGAGAAAACAAAATTATGCTCTAATATGAAGAGACTATTTGTGGGATGAACCAAAGCATGGTGTCTCTGCTATGTAGGAAATACCCCATAAAATTTCACATTCCCTGCTTGGTCACCAGGGGTCATAGTGGAAGTGCAGCAAGTTAATACAGCGGTATTTATATCATACCCACACAAGAAGTGTTGAAAATGTTCCCATTGACTCTCCATACCTTATAAACACATTTTATTTTCTCACAAAGTAATTTTCTCTTATATATTGGACACTTCAAGCTGTATACTATTTCCATATTCTCCTTCTGTGTGTGGTTTGTTATGATAGACTATCTTCTAAATATCTCCAGAAGAAGAAATCACACAGTTGGGTCAGGATAATGAGATGCCAGATAGAACACACCTTATCAACCTTCACCAGAAACCCTTTTCAAAGTCTGTATGGAATGTTCTGTAGTATTCATTTTTTCAGAATGCTGTTGGAAATGTCCACATAATTTTTGTTTGTGAGTTGCTAGAATAATGCCTACAATATTGTCCTAACATGTCTATCAAAATTAATTATTTCAGCATAAACAGAAGGCCAATTATCATCCTCCAACTCATGGCACATCAAACACCAACACAATGTGGATCTTCTGCATGCCAGTGTATGTCATTCTGTGTGTTTACACATGTTAATTCAAACAAAATCAAGTCTTATCTGATAAAAATGTTAATCTGTGATTAAGTTCACCATTGTGAACTGATTTAAGATACCGGTTATACTAGGGGCATTCAATAATGATTTACACTAAATGTTTTTTCTTCACAGTAACAATTTATTGGAACAAAATACATAACAGATTATATTAGACATATTCCCCGCCAATGTCTGTGCACCTTTGCCATCATTCTGGCAGTTTCCGTATTTGCACAGCAAACCATTCTTTGGGGGTATCCCAGCGCCACTGCTGGATAACTGCCTGAAGCTCATCGTTGGAGGTGAACATCTTACTCCGCGTGACATCTCATTGTATTGGATAGAGCATAGTTGCTAGGAGAAAGATTGGGCTAGTATGGCGGATGAGGCAGCACGGTGTACCCTAGAGCACCCAGGGTGGCTATGGTCTGCCGACTGCCATGTGGCCACACATTGTCATGTTGGAGAAGAACACCGCGCCCCCATTTTCTGTGGCGGTGTTGCCGAATGCATCAGTGGAGTTGGTGCAGTGAATTGCAGTACTGATCACTGTCGATGGTCGTATTGGGGAGCAGCCAATCCAACAGAAGGATTCCCTCCTGATCCCAGAACACAATCGCCATTTGCTTTCGGATGAATAGTCCCGGTCGTGACTTCTTGGGAGGAGGGCTCCCAGCATGCTTCCACTCCATGGACTGGCGTTTCTTTTCTGAAGTCTCATGCCAGAACCATGACTTATCAACAGTGACTAGATGTTCAAAGAACTCCGCTGGATCCGCACTATACAGCTGCAGCAACTTTTGGCATGTCTTCACACGCTTCTCCTTCTGTGCAATGGTGAGAGAATGGAGCACCTATTGAGCACGGACCCTTTTCATCTTCCAAGTCCTGATGGATGATGGTGTGCAGTGTTCCACGTGACAAACTGTTGCATTCTCTAGTTCATTGAAAGTGACACACCTGTTTTCCAGTATCAAGTCAGACACGCGCTGGTACTGTCTGGTGTGCATGCTGTTCCTGGACGCACAATCTTTGCCGTCATTGAACTCTGCTATCCAGTGAAATACGGTTCTGTGACTCGGTACTGCTTCCCCACATACAGCTGCTAACCTCATGTGAATGTGTGAAACAGCCACTCCTTCCCTCCAGAGAAACCACACAGTCCACCGTTGCCTGTGACTGTCTGCTTCCATGTTGTCTGAGCTTTGTCCATGACTGCACCTGCACACCGCCATGAATGACGCAGCACTATTCGACCTGTGTGCAGTAGCAATGTCATCTTATTGCCATAGGCGGCACCATAGTATGTCTTCCCACATACACTGGCTCACATTTGTCACTGCTACTTTTCCGGAGTTATGGTGGGAGTGTCAGTCACTTTTTAAATGGCATTTCACTGCTGGATTACATGACTACAATTGCAGTTTTGTAAGGCTGTAATTTCAGTAATGCTGAAGCGGTTCTTGCACTCCCTATTGATCCCCAATTTCTTGTTCAAGGCACTTGAGAACAAAATAAATGTCAAAGCAAAGTTCTGATTTAATCTAACTTTTCTTATGTTAATATCAATATAGCCATTTCTGTTTGCTATCTGAGAATATGCCAGTTATTTTCACTTTATTTACAAGATTCTGAATAGTATTTCCTTGGAGAACTTTAACTCCAGGAAATTTTCTTCTGAATTTCATCCAGCTCCTCCTACTGGAGTAAACTTTGCATTAAATTTACTTAAAAGCACTTTATGCTCTATTATTAAATTATCCATGTCCTACTGAAAGGAATCTACTGTATAAAAAGACTGAGTCAGATGTGAATATTACAAGAGAGTATCCAGTTCCTCTTGTCACGTCTGCTGACACATCTGAGAAGGCTGGAAATGATGCTGAAATCCTGCGTTTCAGGCTATCCTATGAATAATTTCTTTGTATAAATCTTGGTCTTGAAAATGTGCAGTAAGACTATGAGTGAATTTGTAGAAATGTAAATGAAGGAAGCATGTGTCTTTCTTCTTTTTCTCTTTCATCGTGTTTGTCAAATTTTTTTCTTGTGTCTGATTCTTTATTTTTTATCTTATACATCCTCCTCATCCTCTTTCTGATATTACAACTTAATTTCAGCTATAAAACCCTACATTGCTTCAGCTTCAGGCTTCACTTCAGCCACATTAGTTATGTCTTCAGTTATTTTTATACTTGTACATTTTAGTTAAATCATTGCCTAAATACCCCTAGAAATAATTATTGCATTGTTAACAAGAATGATTTCGCTTCAGGTGCTGCTGGAAAATGTTGGAGAGGAGTTGGATGCCATGTTAGAACAACTATTGCAGAAACAGACATTCAAACAGGGTGGTACTTTGTGCATCAAGTTAGGTGACTCCACTGTGGAATACAACTCAAATTTCAGGTGTGTGAATTAACAATTTAAAATAAGCTACTGCCTGTCATAGACAATCATTTATTGCCTTCTTACTCCTTAGAAAAAACATAGGGAATGTCTCAATGTAGTGATTAGAGCTCATTTCTCAAATGTAGGAGGTCCCCAGTTCAAATCTTGGAGGGAGACTGGTTAACTGGCCTGAAGTTTTTGTGACTCCTCAGTCCCTTTGGGATAATACCAGCATAGCATATTTAAAACAATTACATACACTTCCTTCTACATGTATATCCTTCCCAAGTCACAAATCATAATCATTCTGTCATTTATTATCCAATGCATAGCCAGCATAGTTGAGATTTTGTCAGTAATGGAACCAAGAAACAAATATTCATTGTTTTCGTTTCAGTTGGAAGGAGAGAGCAGTTTTCAGACACGGTTTCAGTAGCTGAAGATAAGTTCTAGCTATCATAAGTCAGTCAGTAAAGTGACTGGACTGCCAGTGTTCAATTTCCAGATAACTGCAATTTTTCTCTCCTTTACTATGTGTTCAGAATGGTTCTGGACTTACCAAGGCTTCAATCTAATCTTCATTCAGGCATGAAGATGGCAGCAGCATCAAGCTGAATTCCATTTAGTGCTAAGTTTAAAAATACACATTCATAACCTTGGAGCTTTACCTCCATATCCCTATAACCTTTCATGTCATGTAATGTGTTGAAACCTGATTTTATTTCTTAACCTTTAAACACTGGGCTTTTGAAATGTTGATAAGCTTGAGCTGGCTGGAGTTTATTTAAATGCCCGCTGCTGGTGCGCATTTAAATGCACGTTGCTACTCTGCATTTAAATGTCCGTTCCTGTTAGGGCGCTTAAACAATTTTAAGCATTGTGTTTAAAATGCTGTATCTAACACAATTTTTATGACAAATGGATGGAATTAACTTGTTTGTATCAACAAAGAACATAGTGTCGCATATTACAACGGAAGATTTGAAAAATTTTATACAAAGATTTATAATATATTTTCAAATTTTTTCTTTTAATTTTGATGCATACTGCAAAATTGGTTTCCAAGTTCTTCACAGAGTTATTTTGCATTATAAATTCGTTTCTGTTTGTAACATTTGACAAATTTTAGCAGTTCCTGGTGCCATAAAAGAGATTGAAGCAATAAAATAATTTGGTTCTCTGCTGGGAAACCTTTCATCTTTGTAACACCCTTCAGATTTTCAAATCTTTTGACTAAAGGACAGAAGAATGAAAGCACGTCTATTCAAGAAATAGCTAGAGGGTTCCCTTCTTCAGTGCTAAGACCTTCAGTTATAGCTGCAAAAGATTATTGCCCTTTCTATATGCATGAAAAGACAGCTGCATCATGGCTGAGATACAGAATGCAATCTGTTTTCCGTGCATTCGTAGTGAAATCGAATATTGTAGTTTCATTTCAGCCTATATATACATTAAGCAGATAACAAAAAAGGTATGTACATCGAATTTTACTGTACATTTTTAACACATTAATCTGCAGAATCTGCAATAAAAGTACTGGCTCTTGGATGAGTTTGGGCATAACTCATACGTATACTATTTTTGTTGTTTTTCACTTAGGTATCATTTTAATTCCTCTATTAAGGATTTTCTCAAGTCATTCTGTTAATTACTACATTTAAAAATAATTATTTAGGACTGTGCATGCGCTTCTAGTAGTGGCGTGTGCGCGCGCTTCCACTAGTGGAGTTTAAATGCCCAACTGGCCAAAATGGGGTACTTTGGCCACGACGACCATACTCATCACTGGCATGATCAGGGCACTTCAGCCGTTAAAAGTTAATTCAGATTTTAAAATTTAAAACATATGTAACAGTTGTAAGATCTAAAATTCTCACAGTGGTGGTTATGAAGAAGGTGGTAAGCAGAGCCACCTACTTCATGCTGGGTTCTTGCTTGGCTTATTATTCAACCCTGAAGATGGAAGCGACATGTTCCTCCAAAACATTGGTTGACCTTCAATGGACTACACAGCATTATATCCCAAAAGACTGAATTCTTCAGTTGTAGTAGTTGAGTAATGGGCTGCCACCACATTTAGTAGTGATGTCTCTAAGTATGCCCATCTGGTACATCCCACCAGGATGCTCCTTAAGATAAAGGATGCAAATGTCAGCATATCCAAGAGGTACTGGCTCATTGCCCAGATGGAATAAACTCACTAATGTAGCCCTGCTGAATCCAATCCCCCATGTTGTTTCTTCTGTCACTGGATCATGATATTGCCCAATAATAAGCTTTGTGTTCATAAAATCTTCAGCCACCACTGTTATCTTTTCAATGGAACCAGGCTTGTTGAATGAATATTCTTGTGATGATAAGTTGACTTCAATAGGCAAATTATAGCTTGTTTAAGGAAGGGTCTTATGCATGAGATATCAATTGGAGTACCACATTTGAAGTGAGACTTCTCATACTTATTAATAAATTAATTTTTTTAAACTAGGAAAAGTGATTCTTTAAATATATCCACATACCATGTTGTATCCCAATCCCAGCACACACAACTGAGTGGTTGAAGAGGGAGCATTTGAAATAGTTCATTAATTAGACAATGGTAGAATAGCCGAATCTTTGTTAGAATGTTGGTTGTACAGCTTCTTCAGTTCTGATGTCTATTCATGTATCTCTCATACACTCAAAGGTAGGATGTCACATAGTTGGTTTCTATGAAATTACCTCTGCTCCTGTCTAGAGCCATGCCTACTCTCATAGCAGCCCTTCTCATGATGTAGAAGTACTGTGTTCAGCCTGACTCACCTTGAGGCAGATCACATGGCTGTTTTCCTTCCTACGTAGCTCACAGCTAGACTAGCAGGAGTCTAGAAACAAAGCCCAAACTCCAGTCTTCCAAGTACGTACATGTCTCCACAAAATGTAATACCCTGTTAAGTAATATTCAACTGTGACATATACTATTGGCTCACAGTAAATTGAACATGTCCCATGGAGCTAACAGTAAATATAAAACTAATTCAACTGAATTTACTTCCTAAACACCNGTAAATTGAACATGTCCCATGGAGCTAACAGTAAATATAAAACTAAACACAAATATAAAATCACACACATGATAAAATGTAAACCCAATATTAAAATAATTAATTACACTCTGAAGAAAACGTTGTGATAATGTTTCTGAACTGAGCAACCAGACGTCCTCCAGCCTTTAGGTTATCACATTTCACTTGATGGAATACTTAATCTTATAATTACAGAAAGTTATACTTTATGAATTATTTGTATCTAATGTCAGTGATTACCACAAACTAACTTGGTTGTAGATGTTAAAATGCTGAAGACTGGTGTAGGCTTTCTGCTCTCCATAGTTACCCAGCCTACAGCTAGCTACCTGTGTGCTAGTGGAGAACTTTAACTGCTACATAGCTGTACACTGTTTTGATCAGTCATAAAGAACAGTTGAGCATATAAGAGGCATAAGAGAGTGAGCAATAAAATAGAATCTGTATCAGAGCAAAGTTGTTGACTCCACACACATCCATAAAATAGGCTCAAAATGGCTGCTGCTACATGAGGAACAAAATAAATCACAAATAAAGTCTATAAAAATATATGAAATAAGGTAACACAAACATTAAAATAAATTACCTCATAATAAATATATAAAAATACAATTTGTTCAGGAGACTTTATGTGGACATTTTCCTTAGTGCCCTCATGTTCATTCAGAGAACCAAATTTTAAATTTAAATGTTGGTCTACTGCATTGAAGGCTGTACATCACGACAAAATTATGCAATCCACACTACCTGCCCGAGGTGGCAGTAAAAGTGACTCTGCTTAACTTCATGGTAACACCTGCTGGGTTGGAAGACCAGCTGCTGGGCATTGTGGTTGCTAAGGAGCGACCTGACTTAGAGGCAGAGAAGAGTCAGCTCATTATGCAGGGAGCTGAGAATAAAAGGTGAGCTTGGTGGATAAAGGTAGGGTAGAGTTGTTCCTGTGCTTACCTAATTAAGTAGTAAGCTATGAAGTGGATGCATAGATCCACATCTTCCTGGCCTTGGTACTAGTTGGAGGTGAGTGGTCAGCTTCATGGCCTGGTTGCTTTACTCCCAGAGAAAGAGCCCCCAGTATCCATTGGATAGCAGGCTGGGTGAGCCTTAGAACTGGTCCTGATAACGTGGTGAGGAGAGATATCTTGCCACTACTGGGACTCGAATTCTGACTCCTTGACTGTCCAACTCATGTTGCTATACTGCTATACTATCTTGCTTGCACTTGGAGGGGTAGTTGACTAAATTAATGTATGTAAATCGAAAGGTAAAACTATCCCTGTAATGGGCCATGGTGGTCCATAGGGTTGTGAGATGTTCAGGGTCCCACATTATCTAGACAGTTGGCTCACAGATGGTGATAGGGTTGTCAGCCTTAAGCGCCAGCTGCCCTTTAACCCCCAGGAAGATTCCTGGTACTCATTTCTGATAGAGGCTGAGTTGACCCCAGGGACATAGTGTGGCTGGAAGGATTAGGTCAATTGAAAATATCCACCTCATCGGCACTTAACCCCGCGAGCTTCTGGCTTGTAAAATTAATGGAAGTGCAATATGGACAGACTCTTAAATATCCTTAAATAATATAACCAAACAAAATGCACAAGTAGACACATCCAGAGTGCCAAAAAAAGAGAAAATGGACAACTTGTGCAGAAAATGCCATAGAAGTAAAAAAATTTCAGAGCCATGAAATTGAAATTTCAATGGGAATCAAATATAAGTTATAGATCTCACTAAGATTTATGTTTATGTTGTGTGTGAAACTTTCATATAATTACTTCGTTTACAAAAATTGTTTAAAGTTTGATTTTTAGAAAGTGGAGTGGTTTAGAAGACTGATATAGGTAAAATGAATTTAATGTAGATATCCATTAGTAATTGCATTGAAATAAAATAAGTAGTTTATGAAACAAAACATCCTTATAAACTGATGGACAAGCCGATCAAATTATGGATTCATCCTACCCATTATACAGTTATTTTATACTTTTCACACAAGGAACACAGATAATATTCTATGTTTGGATAACTTGTTATAATTGTTGAATTTTCTTTGCAGTCTTTTTCATTCTGAGACTTACTTATTACAGAATGCTAAAGGAGATAGAAGACAAGATCCTGGAAGTTCTGTTCACATCAGAGGTTAATATCTTGGAGGATGAGACAGCTGTTAATGTGCTGAGCTCCTCAAAGACACTTGCTAATGAAATCCAAGAGAAACAGTCTGCGGCTGAAGATACAGAGATATCTATTGACAAAGCTCGCCTTGTGTACAGACCTACACCAAATTATTCTGTTATCCTCTTCTTTACCATTGGTATGTAATGTTTCAGTGTGATACTTGTAAATTGAGAGCAGGCAATGTGTGTTTGGAAGGTATTCAGCAGGGGAATTCAACAAGGGATAATGATCAAAACCAGGATGACTGTCAAGATCTGACAGTAGACACACTTTAAGAAATTCAGTCATATTTAGGATGAGGGAAGTGCTACTGTGTATTTTGTATGGATAAAATTAGTATTCCTTGGCAAATGTAAAAAATGAAATTGTGCATAAATGACTACTAGGCAGACTACCAGATGAACTGGCTAGAATACTTGTAAAGATAAGGCATAGAGAATACTGAAGCAGGCATTTAATACAATTCACTGGAGTGTAGTGATTCTTAACAGACACCAGAGAAAAAATATAGGGATCGATTACACCTAATGTATTTAGAAACCAGGAATTAAGCCTAATCCTGTGCGAGCTTTGGGCTCCGCCTTTTATACCATGCTTGATGGGCGGAGTGAAACTTGCAGTTGCAATTTTGAGTGCTGATTGGCTAGCGCACGTTATGATCTAAATGTGGGCTGGACAGCAGGTGCTGTATAAATACGAGTGCTGCCAGCAATGTGATTGGTTAGCGCACATGATGATCTAGAGATGGGTTGGACATCAAGTGCTGTATAAATATGAGTGCAGTGTCCGGCAATGTGATTTTGACTTAGGAATGAGTGTTGTCTGTTAGACCTGTGAACAGCGTGTAAGTATGTGGGATGTTCCCACAATAATATTGTGCACATCAAGAATAAGTTGGAGAGGCTAAATGCAGTGAGTCATACAAAAGAGAACAGGGATTGACTGAAATCAGATATAATACATACTTACAGGAGGAGAGGCAAGAATGGAGAAAGACTGCCTGCTCTGGTGGGAATCTCAATGGATGATGAAGATTGCACTGGGAAGACAACAGGTCACACATTCTTGGGCATATAACAGAATATTTGTTTTCTTTATAATCCCAAGATATTGTTAGGTAATAGACCCATAAGAAAAGTATATGAAATTAATTGTTTGAGAAATCAAACAAGTCCAGACTGCAAGAGAAATTTTGAACATGAAAGGCAAACATTCAAATGTATAAGTGAAATAATTCACAGTTGAATTAATCAGCTGGGGCATGCGGTAGCACTGTGCTACAAGCTGGAAGGTCGCGGGTTTGAGTCCTGGTGAGGTGGAATTTTTTTCAATTTACCTAATCCTTCCAGCCGCACTATGACCCTGGGACGACTCAGCCTCTAAAAGAAATGAGTACCAGGAATATTCATGGGGGGTAAAGGGCGGCCAGCTCATAAGGCTGACAACCTTACCACCATCTGTGAGCTGATTGTCTAGAGAAAATGTGGGACCCTCAATGTCTCACAACCCTATGGGCCTTCATGGCCTGATGCAGGGATTGCTTTACTTTTACCAAACGACTAAATGATGTAGGGTGTTTCTTGAAAAGTTAATAGTTGTTCAATTGTTCAAGAAGTTCTCTCTTTTTTTATGACCCTGGAGGTTCTACAGGAGTACACCACTGGAGCATAACCTGAATCGATTGACTCCAGAACAAACAAATTTACTTGTATTTAGAAATATAATGTCCAAGAGTGTCTATTTAAAATTAAAATTAAATGAAATGGTGGTTAAATATAATAGTAGGATGTGGATGTATGATGGAAAAGATAGAAAATAAAGGATCAGGGAAATGAGAACTTCAAGACCCTTATTACCTGGATGGTTACACAAATGAAGTAACGCTTACATATAAAAGAAACTTGTCATTGATAATGTAGCTGAAGAGACTATAGTGTGCAGGAAAAAATGAAAAGAACATACATGTACAGAATCCTGCAAGCATATTCCACTGGTTGAAATTGTGAGTTAACATAAGCATGTATTGGGATGTGTCCCTTCACACGTAAAAGCTAGTGTCACTCTGATATTGAGAAAAGTAAATTTTTGCTCTCAGACTCATGAAAGCTGCGAAGTTTTGTTATCATTTATTATCATGGCAATGAATTATTGAGCAGTAACTCATATAAACCTGTTGTGTCAGGTGATATAAAAGTAGGTAGTGGTTATTTTTTTCAGTGTAGCATTTCTGTCGACAATATTGGATGTGTATATGGGAGGAGTAGTTGGTATTTACTGTGGGATGGGAATTAGATTTAAGAAATTTGGCATATGCTTCATTTTCAAAACAGGAACCCAGATGAAGTTTGTACAGATCATGTACAGGCACTTTAATCTGAAACCAACATGCTGATCCAAGTGAGAAGTTTATATGTATACATTATGACAGTGATATAGAAGCTAGACAAATGATTTTGATGTCAAGGCAAGGTATAAATTTTTAACTTGTGAATGATAGTCCACAAAAATTTACATATATGTTTGTAAATAATATATACATTTAAAATTGAAATTAAACAAAATATATTGTGTAAATATGGTAGTATGACATGGACTTGGGATTATAAAGACATAAGAAGAAGGTGGGCAGCAGAATTGAGAATTCAAGCTAAGAACAAATTACTCAGTAGTCACTTATATAACCTCTAAATTTATTCTGTTATAAATGGGTGCAGTTATCATTCCATCAGTGTACAGTGAAAACCTGGGTAGTTGAATTATCCACACTTTTACATAGTGCCACCTTCTCTTGTTTTGTGTCACATTTCCTCTGTTTGCTGCAGCTGACATGGCCAACATTAACCCCATGTACCAGTACTCCCTGGTATGGTTTGTGAACCTTTTCAAGGCTGCAATTGACAACGCTGAAAAAACTGAAGATGTTGCAAAACGCCTTGCAGACATAACCAAGTACTTCACATATTCTCTTTATGTTAACATCTGCAGGAGTTTATTTGAGAAGGTGAGTTCNGAACACCCTCCCGAAGTTTGGCACATTCCTCCTGGGACACCCTGTATATACTGTTAATATTTATACTAGCCTGCTGAAGAATAATACTTAAATTGAGGCCTGAGTCTTTGTAAGCCTATATTTATAACATTCTATTAATGCTTATAAGAACTTGTTTAAGCATCATAATGTGAATCCAGGCTTGATGCTTTGTTGTTATATGCAGCAAGATTTGCAACATATGCCAACAATATATTGACTGAGATACTGACAGCATTGTTGAATAAATCACTAAGAAATAAATAAACAAATAAATACAACTTATAACATACATATCCACTTAATTATATTTTAGCAGGTCTTCAGATTCTGGTACAATTTAATTAATTGTAACGACATTTCACCATGTATGACTCAGTTTTGCCGAGCATTTTTTAAGTTACATTATTGTTAAAATTGTTCTAAAATGACAATGTTATATTTTAGCGTCCTGTTGCACTGATTTAAGTCCATGATTTATTTTATTTATTTAGTTTGTCATGTGTTGGATCAGCACCTGTAGATGGCACATTGATGCCGAAACATGTAGTGAGAGTGAAAGGAGGGGATAAATAAATGTATGCACTAGAAGACGGATAAAATAAATCATGGACTAAAATGACAATTTGACATACAAATGTAGTCATTTAATTTTTTATGGTTCTAAGATTTAAATTAAAAAATAGTTCATCTTGGTGGCAAGAAAGTGTGATATTTGTTGGCTTTTTGCAATTTTTTCCTTACTTCTGCATTATCTGGAAACAATAGAATATACCAGTATGAGAAATAGCATTTACTGAGGCTGTGTATATGTAGAGACAATGAAAGACTACATGGTCTGTGATGAGAGTGGTGGTGATACATATTGTAGCATGTAGACCCATTACTAGGTAGCAACTGCAAAACAAACAGGTTCCCACAGCAATGAGTCCATGTGCAACAATAGAGGGACTATTGGAAACGGTGTTATCTATGTGGTCTGTGCCAAGAGGTTATATAGGGAGGACACCAGCTGAGCAGGAGTCAGTTGTAAGGGAGTCTGAAGAGAAGACTAGGAGGTTGATGTGAAATGGTCACCAGCCTGAGATATAGTCAACTGGAGCAAGAGTTCAGAGTCGTGGAGTATTAGCCGGTGGGCAACGAAGTGAGCACAGAAGCTGAAGAAGAATGTCCACTGTTAGCAGGCATTACCAGGAAGCGTCTAGTGGGGAATGTAACAGACTGAGAATGCTAGTCTCTGTGCAGCAGTGATTTGTAAAGTGTGGAAATCAGCAAAAGCACTGTAACTACTTGAAGTTACGATCAATAAGTGGTCAATTAGCAGAGTCGCCAATCCAAACCCTGTGTATAGTCACAACTGGTGTCAGAAGTGGTTGAATTGGAGACGGCAGTAACAAGCTGTATCGCTACACTATGGAACTGGGACAAGTGATGGCACATCTGTTGGCTGAAATCAGAAACAACTGAAAAGAAATAAGAACCAACCAAACCAAGGCAGACGCCAATCTAAAGGAAATGAAAGAAGAATGCGAGCTAGCCAAGAACTTCTGAAAGAAGAAATGCTGACCAAGTTAGATGCCCATCATGAAAGGATGATGGCCAGGATGAACTCCCAGTTAGAGAAAATAGAGGTTTGTCTTGAAAAGACAGAAGCCATGGATTTGGAGGCAAATCCAGAAGAAATGTAGACCAAGTTAGAGCATCACTAAGCCCCAATAGAAGGGACCACAGTGGAAACTATCAGAGTGCTGGACGACCATTGTGGACACCAACATCTCACTGTAGGGCACCGCTGACAGCCAAAGAAATGGACCCAGGGTGATGGTGGGTCCAAAAAAAAGTTGGCTGTTGCCCACAGATGGATGATCCGCCATGGAGGAATGGCATGGCGTAAAGGACATGGTCATAAGGGACCAGTGGTCAAGAAGAGATAGCAGAATGGCCTGGAATGAAACAACATAAGGGAACAACGTGTAATATGGCAGCCACATCTGAGGAAAGAGAGGACAACCGGCAACGGCTTCAGAGGAAGAAGCAGGAGACAGGAGCTATGTCTGAAAAGCATGAAGATATTATAGGAGGCCCTCATACAAACTCTTGAGTTGGAGGTCATGAAGCCAGCAGTTGGTATTTTCATTGGGTGGGAAAGTGAGTGACTGGACATCATGGAGGGGTTGGCCATTTCTGAAATGGAAGAAGATACCACTAACAGCAAGTCAAGAGCCAGAGATGTAGGAGCATTTTCCACTCTTTGAACTTTTTCCCCCACCAATCAGAAAAGTAGGATATGATGATACACCTGGACTGACTGGTACCCTATCAGGGAGCCTCTCAGGACATGCAGTCTTAAGGAGGAAGGCGTGGGTGCAGTTGGAGAGTAATCTCCATGAGAACTGAGTCATGGGGAAAGAAGGCAAGACCAATCACAGAAGACTAGGAGGTTGGTTGAAGATGGTGGCCAGCCTGGGAGTTAGTTCAGTTGCTGGTTATTCGTTGGAGAGTAACAACGTGAACACAGAAGCTGAAGACTCTCCATTGTTAAGAGCTGTTATTGGGAAACAACCATTGAAACAGAATGAGAAGGCTTAGCATGTGTTGTAGTGATTTTTAAAGCGTGGAGATCAGCGAAAGCATTATGATTACTTGTAGTAACGATCTCAAAGTGGTCAATAAACTGAGTCACCAATCCAAACCCCATCTATATGCACTCATGCATGTGACAATATTGTAGCATGTGGAGCTGTTGCTATGCAACAACCATGATATTGACAGATATACCAGGGCTGTTTCTGGACAACCACTCGGAAAACATGTTCCCGCAGCAACAGACACTAACGCAATGATAGAACAGCTGTGTTTTCTATGTGGTCTGCGCTGAGATGTTATAAGCAAAGGACAAGATTAGAGCAGGCAGTCCTGTAGAGGAGTATGTGAAGAAGAGACTACAGCTGGAGGCAGAGGAATAACCAATGTTGGAGTCACTACTAGGAAACATCTAGTTACAGACTGAGAACATTAGACTGTGTGCTCTAGTGAACTCTATAATGTGGAAATAGTGATAGTGTTATAGCTATTTCAAGTTACAACCTGTAAGTGGTCAATAAATCTGTTCACCAATCCAAACCCCATCTACAGTCCTTCATACATGTGACAATGTATTCTGCTTATTTGTTCAGTCTATATTTCACACATTTCCTTTCAGACATATATGATCAGTAGGGACCGGATTTTTATGCCCTAATAATCCCTTAAATATGTATGCGTTTATGCATGAAAAACTTCGGAAATATGCACTAAAATATGCACATCAAAATTTATATCAAATATTAAAAATGATTTTACATTATTTTAAAACCAACAAATAAACATTTAAGTTCATTTTATGTAATCACTGAATGATTCACTTGCAATAAAAAGCTATACTTAAATACAAATCATGCAATAAAGCCAACATATTTCATTACAAATTTAAAAAACCAATGGTACTCACATTTAGCTCCCCGAACTTTCAACTTCTTTTCTGTTGCAGTTCACAGTTACTAAATGTTCTAGGTTTTCCATAGTTAGTCTCCTCCTATTGTCTCGTAAGATGTCCTTATAGCGGGAAAAACTTCTTTCCACCTCACAGGAACTTAGGGGCGCATGTACAAAAGCCGCTATTTGCTCCACTGTTAGTGATTTTTTACTTGGCAGTTCAGTACGTTTACCGGCTAAAATTTTTCAATTTCACAAATTTGTTCATATCCTGGATTTTTTTAAAGAATCCTGTGCACTTTTTCCTCTACTACTTCACCAACTCTTCCAGAAACTGAATTCAATTTGGAAACAGTGGTTGTGAGCACACTTAACGACTGATACAAAGTAGTATTGCTATTGCTTGCCTCCAGTGAGGAAATGGCGGATGGAAGATGAGAGAAGTGAGCAGATATATAGGAAAGATTAGTTTCTAGATCTGCGTTTTTAGTACATCTTGGCTAATTTGAATTGATGCTGCACTTTTGGGATAAAATGTATTCACGGCATTCCTAACTGTTTCTAAATGTTCGGTATAATAACTCACTGCACACAGCCACGTGCCCAAGTGTGTTAAAATTGGTTCTGGCGGAAGTGGAACGCTTGGTGCTACTGCTTTAAAGGCTTCTTTTCTGTATGGCGCTTTGACAAATACCTTCTTCACAAAAGATACCAACTTGTCAACAAGCGGAAATTTTGCACGAATTGTTTGTGTAACACGGTGCAAGTCATAGGCAAGGCAAGTCAAATGTGTCATATTTGGAAATATAACTTTAAAAGCAGTACTGGCTTTCATCATATAACTTGTGGAATCAGTCACAAAGAGCAATACGTGCTCATACTGAATGCCATTCAGCCATAGTAAATTCATGGAATTTATAAAAAATTCAGAAACTGCGGAGCTATTTGAGGTTTCAAATTGCTCTACCACAAGAAGATATGGGGTAGATTGTTCATTCTTATTAAGGGATCCAACTATACAATTTGCAATATACCGTCCCTCACAATCTTGTGTTTCGTCGATTGATACCCACACAAAATTATCTTGAATCTTATCTCTAATGCTTTCAATTGTAAGATCGTAACACTGCTTCACGTAATTTTTGCGCACAGTAGATTCATCCGGCACTTTGCACTGTGTACACTTCTCTATGAAGTTTCTCAGAGTAGGACTGGTTAGTATCCACAGCGGATTATCTGCCGCGAAAAAGGCTTTGCATAAATCAAAGGAAAAATGTGAAAAACTGTTATTAGAAAATTCACTGTGCAATTTTTGAATAGGAGCACTTTTGGTGGATATAATTTTAATATTCTCTTTGTGTGTATTAGTGTTCAAATGCTGAAGCACTTGAAAGCGTTTTTCACAACCAACTGTTTTCTCACACGCGCGGCAATAAAGAATTTCTTTATCCGTACTTATCATCTCTCCTTCGAACTCCCGCTGATACAGCTGTAATTTAGTTTTCTGACTTACTTTCACTTTCAGCATGACTACAGAAAGCTCAACAAACTTAACTACAGACTAGTCACCACTAATGTGAATGGACCCCAGCTTCAAAAGAAGAAGCGTAATGAACGTCATGGAGACTTCAGAAATAAATAAGTGAAGTCCCTTATCGGTTGAATAGTATTACGTTGATAGAGGCTACATGTGAACGCTTCCGACTAATCTCTTCGCGGCCACTTTGATGGTACGCGGATGAGGCAAGTTACGAGTAGA